ATGCAGGGTATATCCCTGTTAAACGATGGGGTAAGTTCATCTCGATATCACACATTCACCGGGTTGACTGCCGGGAGTAGTTGCGCAAGCTTGGGTGAAATACTGGGAGAGGAGTACGACATATTCATGTAAGAGGCATCTTTAGGTCTGCTTTCGTCACTCACCAATTTGGCTTTGGTCCTGTCGAGGAATATGTGCATATTCCAACACAGGATACTGTCAGAATTTTCCGCGAGATGAAACTTGTTTCTTCTTGTATGAATCAAAGGAACACGCTTTCACGAGCAGTAACAGGATGTGATAAATAGCCAGTATACTCCTATATGATCTCACCATTTTCGAATAAGGTATCCAGAAGCAGAGAAATCCGTAGCATGGGTATGACATTTTCTACAGTGCGATGCTACTTGACAGAAATTTTAAACTCACGTAATTCACTGCACTTCTGATGTTTTGGAGCAATTTATTCCAAAACAGAATAAACAATGAAAAGTTTTCTCGCATTCGTACTTTTGTTCCTGGAATTATTGCCTTATAGCTCACATCACACTGGGATATTTGTTATTCTGCATCATGCAAAGATTTACTGCTGCGATGTAACAGTTATGTTTGATTCTGAATAGAATACAGTTTTAACTTCATTCTTTGCAACCATGTGAGTTGCATTCCAAAGAAAGTACATCGCTCAGTTAAGTTAGCGATGTGGTATCCGATTATTCTATTTGTACATCCGCGTTGAATTCTCTCAACGCCCATTCTGTCGGACCTCCACATTCTTGTGCACACTATTAATAATATAAACTAGTTGGCAATATGTATGCTTTGTACAATCGGAGCCGGAACTCAGAGAGTGAAAAAAACGACAAATATATCTGACGCCCTTTCGTGTCATTGATGGTTGAAAATCACGCTCTCTGAGAAGTGGAACCTGCGCGAGTGTCGCAGGCTTAGATCACAAACTGATATGCATTCAGAGATGTTTATACCATGCAGGGTACGGCTGTTTGGTAGAACGCGGCACTTTTACGCTGGGATACTATTATTCCCCAGTTAGTTTGGGGTTATACTATACATCAATTTCCTCAATCCTTGAGATGTTAAGTTTGCAATCCACATTATAGTGACTCGAGGCACTGCACTTCGTCGCCTATGTCCCAAGTGTCAGTGTTACCGAAATTCTGCTTTATGCTTCTGCATTGCGTGTATTACACAAAATAAACAACTTCTGAGGAAAAGAGCAAAGGGGTTGATTAAAAGTGTACAGCATGCTATAGGGAAGTGATATTTTTTGATTTGCTACCGTAGTTCTACCAATCCCCCTGCTGATATTCGCCTTGTTCTGTGTACTTTAAAGAGCATAGTTAACATAAGGAAACCGATTGATTTACTGCAGCGACTGCAGCTGAAGCAGTTCAGAGAGACCAATAGAAACCTAAGGAACACGGAATGATCAGCGGACTCTGTGTTCCCCATTGGTATCAGTCTAAGACTGCTGCGCTTCAACTTTCATTTGTAATATTGAACTTTGCCTGAAGCACTTGTCTACCGTTAGGAAATCTCAAAAGTAACTCCTGACTCTGTGCGAATTGATGGCAGTTTCAAATGTTTGATATAGATGTCACCGCATGACACTGATATCTGCTGAAAATCACCAAAATGTGTATAATTGATTGCAACCCACGTGATAGGTGCCTGTAAACACGATATGCTAGCATATAACCACTTTTTGTATGTTACAAGCACAAAAAACCCGGGAACCCACGAGATTTCCCTCTTTCTCTCAGATCTCTCGAACTAGGCTACGTTATTACAATAGTTGTTTTCAAAACCTGGGGTGCATTATCCCTGCAAACGGAGGCGTGTTTCTCAAATAGCTTTGAATCGCTATGTACATTTACCTAGGAATGTTATACTGTTTTTTCCAAGCTTGTCATAGCTGAACTTCACTTTGTCATCCATTACGGTACGGTCTGACCTCGTTCAAGAAACCAACTTGTCTTTCCTAGCTCGGCAGCCTCTTGACGTCGCCTGGAAGGAATTAGTCAGTATGTTCAGCGGACTAGTGTCAGATGCATCGGAAACCAATATCTTTCGTTTAAACCGAATGAAGTCGTTTCTGAAGAGCCGGACACGAAAATGCGTAAGCTTAAGGGATTCGGCTTGAGGCGCTTATAAAATCCATCCGGATACGCAGGCCAGAGATGCCCACACAACACAACCAAATCACTGTATCACATTAATCCGTGACGACAAACTTAAGCAACAACAGGACTTAGGGACGAAATTCACTACTAATCCTAAGATTCCCTACAGGCAAGTAAACAAGCTCCGGGGAGTGTAGCGCGGGATCCCAATTCTACCTGCAGTAAATAGTCTGGTGCTCACTACACAACAGTTTACCTGCACTTTCTAGAGCGCATCTTTACCTCACTTGTTTATGACGTAGCTCACCCCGCCCCAAGGAGTAAATCACATCTACTCCACCGCTGCCAATATGATTAAAAGACTACCGTCCTTGGCGTATACGGCTCTCCTGGTGTGGACAATATCAGACCGAAGTCATTAAAAACAGTAGCCATGTACCTTACCGAATCATTGGCCTGGTTCTTCCAACGAAACCTTGAGGAAATGCAGGTTTCAACTATGCGGAAAAAGGAAATAGTCGCTTTAATCTTCAAGAGTGGGAATGGTGTGTACCCTTCCAACTACTGTCCAATCACCCTTCTCTCAGTGCTATCCAAGTTTGTGGAAGCGGTAATCGCACAGGTGCTCTTAGGAGACCTTGAGAGCAGCAACATTGCAGTGTTACAGCAGCATGAATTCCTACGAAATCGTTCCCGCACCACAAATGTGCTACTAGCCGAAGGAAGCTGGATCAAATCAGCCGATGACAGACAAAGAGTTAACCTCGTATATCTGGACATCTGGGCATTCGATCGCATCAACCACCGAATTGTTCTTCACAAAATTCAAGGCCGTGGAAGTGATAACCTTATGCCAGGTTGGATAAGCAATTTCCTCATCCAACGTCAGCTGAATGTGAGAGTGCGTAGCTCCATCTCCGACTCAATTGAAGTCCAGTGTAGCGTGCCCACTGGATCGGTACTGGGGGCACGTTTGTTCCTAGCATTCATCAGCGCTCTTGCTAGGATGCTGCAGTCAGGCTACCTACTATTTGCGGACAACGTCAAGATCTAACAGCATCAAGACAATGAACGACCAAGCGACACTACAGAGATTTTGACAGGGCCTGCAAACGGTCGTCCGAAAACCGACTTTAGTGTAAGTTGGCGAAGTGCAAGGTTGTGAGCATTCACCATTAGTGTACTCCTAAATATCAACTGAGAGAACAGCAGCTGCAACATGCTAGCAGGAAGGCTACCTCAGCGTAACGGTACTGAACGACTTTGGCTGCTCTAAACAGGCCGAGGAGGCATCGAGAAGAGCCAGTTGGCACCTTGGCCTCTTACGAAGGGCGTTCGGGAAGTTCGAGCTATCAATTTTTCCACAAATGCTGAAAGCCTACTTGAAGCCTCACGTAAAGTACGCGATCCAGGTCTGGAGATCTTGACATAAACGCGATGCTGCTGCGCTCGAGGCTCCACAACGTAGGGTGGCGAAAATCGTTAGAGGACCATTTAAACTCTCCTACCAACGCAGACTGCAAGGCCTAGGTTTGTATAGGGGTGAACACCGATGACTGGGAGATCTCATCACGGTGTAGCAAATACTAACTCACCCCAATCATCTCTGTCGCAATTTGTTGCAAGTCGACCACAGTACCAACCTGAGAGGACACCTGCTCAAACTGACCACACAGTAAAGTCGGATTGATTGCCGAAAAAAATTTTCTCCCCTCAGATATCCAGAGCTTGGAACCCTCTTCCTTCTCACATTATTTTCGCCCCACATTAACAAGTTTTATAAACGGTTAGACCACACTCTATCCCATTTACATTAAGTGACAGTCTGTTTTCATCGAAAGACGAATTACATCAAACGGTGCGGTAAGCAGACCAGCATGTGTTAATGTGAATGACTCGGTAAGTGACCTCAAACCAGAATTTCCCATTTTCCTGTCACTTTAAACAATCATTCTACGGGACTTGTTAGGCATGTTTTGCCCGTTACGAATCATTGTCCATTGTGTATTGAAAATTTCATCTAATTAACAGCATATCCTTGTTACTTGCCTATAAACGCTGTTGTGGGATGATATTCATACAATTACTTTCAGATTCTGGCCAGACTTGCTACGAACTAGTCGGGAGTAGAACAACGCTGTCCACGGTAGAAGTGATGGAAGTACAGCTGCCTGCTGACAAACCTTTATCTGTTTGAAGAGTTTCGGGACTGCTGTTTCCTAACACTGCAAGACCAGTTTCGGCATGAGACTTCGTGTCGCAATCCAGACACAGGACAGATACTTCAAGATCAAACAACGAACTTCCAGCTGCTGTGTCTAACGCTGCTTTCACAGCTTTGGCTTATTAATCAAACTGTAAGCTGTCAAATGGCTTCCACTCTTAGCTTAGGCTAAATCTACCCGAATAGTATAAATCAGGGCGAAACTGGTCTGTCGTGGAGTGCAGTTTTGGCAGAGGACAGCTCCGAAACTCTCCATTTCGGATGTGGTCTCACTGAACCAAATGACAGAGTTTGCTTCAAAGCAAACCGTGGCTTCACGGTGGGTAATCCAGGACCAAACAGTGAGTTTACCCTTTTGTTTTATCGCAGTTCCCGGTTTGGATCCAGCGGGAGATAGAAAGCCGCATTGAAACAGATTGTCCCAGCATCCTCTAAGCGATGCTGCACCAGAAAAGCATATGGTCTTTTTACAATGACAAGTTTTTACTTGTGCTTCTTACGGAGCATTTACAAAAAGCCACCAAGAACGGGCTCACCTTACAAAATGTATGCCTTCGAAAGTGCCGCTTTACGGTGGTTTCATCCAGCAATTGCTTTGGCGTTTCTACCTGATTCTACCTGGTCCTTTTCAGCACACTTGGCATGAACTATCGTTCACCCCTGCTACCCTGGAGGACTGTTTCTCTGAAGGCTCCGAACAGTGCAGTTCCAAAGTGAGTGAATTTTGTGATCTGAACCCTCGCGGGCACAGCACCTATTTTATGTCACCTGTGAGTAATTCATATCGACAATTTTCGCGCTGTATAGATAATTTGTTAGACCTTCACACCAGCGTCGCTCAGAATCTACCGACCACTATCTACAAATAGTAAAACAGGCTATATTCCGTCATTTTGTACTTTATGAATAACGCTGCTGTCTGAAACATTAAGCCTACGAGCTCAGGAAGTCCCTTATACCAGCATTTTAAAACCTTGGCCGGGCCATACCCGATGCAACGCTTTCCACATCACGTACAGTTACGCGATTGTCCCACAATGTACCGCTTAATGCGAGTTCGATGGCTTTTGCACACGCTGTCTGTATTTGCTGACCTGACAACGAAATGTCTGGAAGTATCATCATCATGGTTATCCGGACGTGCCGTTCAAAAGATTGCGAAACAGTTCGTGCCTGTCTGCATTGGTCCAATTATGTATTTTGTCATGTGGTTTGCGGGGAGTTGAAGCATCCTGCACCAGGCTGTACGTGCGAGATAAGAGGATCGAGCTTAAGTGAGCAACAACATTCACCATCATAGTCAGGAATTGTCATTAGCCTCCGGGATCTTGGGGACCGCACTTTTTTGCAAGGTGCCACTGAGAAAATGCTCGTGGTTTCTATAACTCGGTTGATAGCATTTCTGGCGGTCTTTCCGTAAACAGTCCTTCGCATCAACGTACCACTTCAATCCCTCTGGCTACACCATTGATGTAACAGATGTCGAATCGGCTAACCACTTAGGTACCAAGCTGTCAAATTGTGAGTGTACATTTCCGTCCATCCCCAGTTTGATATCATGTTCTTATCTCCTACAGTGCTTTACCGCGTGTGATCAACCCCCCGACCAATGCGTGTCCACTTGTTCGGTAAGTCACCCGCATTGTATGTCTGCGTCATGGTTGTTGGGTTCGTCAACAACATGTCCCACCTATTCACTCTTCAGCATCAGCCTGACACGACTGGTTCAGTCCATAGGTGTAGCTAACGGTGTTCATTCTAGACCTAAACCGTTTTCAGCGTCAGAGGAGAACCGTAGTGACCACCTACATCTATATTCGTGGTATTGCTGTCCGTGAAGCGAGGCACAACTGTATCAAAAACTAAAGCAAGTCGAAACTATCCCGCACGTGTTTTTTCCCTCTATGCATTGAATGATAGGTACAACAATATTAGACAAATGTCAGTTGATGAAAAAGTTCCGTATAATTAATTTGCATGAAACCGTGTAATTATTTGTTACACCGAGAATTTTAGCATTGTTCACGAGCATGTTGCATTAACAACGCCGTCCACTTTTTCATATTCCTTGCCATTGAATATAGTCAAGTACTACTAGCCGGCTTGCTGTCGGGAATAATTCTGTGCAAACGATCATATTTTCAATGTGAAAAGTGGTTTTCACAAGCAATTCCATCGGAGAGCGTCAGTTGTCTCACACAAATGCTCTCGTGCATAGCACTTCAGGGAGTATGTTGATGATGAGTAGCGCATCCAAAGAAAGTGGTAATTAGTCGCGGCGCAAAACACATGGAATGACTGGCTACTTTCACTGAGCTATGATGGATCATCGAATGGTGAAATGATGTTATTGATGAAGAAGACTATAAAGAAGATGCTGGTGGAGCCATAACTGTGGAACACATGTGCTAACCCGAAACAGGTGACATCATTCGTTAGTCGTTTTCGCCAAATCAATTAGTCGGGACACTAGCTGGAAGCGAACTTTGTGGTGCGTACTGGTTGGAAGTATAGTACCCATTCTAGCCGAATTGGAAATCGGCTAGTTACACATTACAACCAAAGTAGCATCGTTGGATAACCTGGTGAAAGTGGCGATTACTAGGGCTATACCAGCTCACCTTCATAATAACATGTTGCAGTGCATTTCGTTCGCCAGGAGTTTTTGGATCGAGTGCCAACCATGCAAGTGAGCAGAACAAATCACATCAAGTTGGAGTAAAGGGTTGCAAAGTACGAATCCACTTTATGCGTTCACTGTCACGATACCCGCTTACAAGACCGCGGTGTCTGAGTGGGTGTAATGTGCTGGAAGATTAGACTAGCAATTCGCTGCATTTTGCATCCTTACTAGATCTGTGTGCTTCTTACGATTACAAGCATAATGCACAGTAGATTTGTAACCACACGTAAACCATTTTAACAGGCACAGCTTGTCTAAGACAACCAGCTGGTGTGTCCCGCCGGGTTTAGGTAGGAAGAAAAAGGAACTTAGTCAAATGATGAAGATCTGAGTTTGTCACAATCGTTGTGAAGCTGTACGCAAAATCCCAGAATACGACAGAACTTCTGCTAGTTGGCATGCTGGACTAAACTAGATGGATTGTCGATTACTCAAAATACATTGGAGATTAGGTTAGTCAAAGGGATTTCCGCCCACTCGCAACTATGAAGACCATGACTAGATTCGCAATTCCGCGCATCGGGTCTCGAATCAGGAACTTTTGGGCTATTAAATGATGCCTATAGCTCTAAACCATCGAGACGAGGCGGGCAACACTTGTCAAAACGGTCAATGACTGATTGGATGGATTGGATGGATTAATTTGTAGTATATGTTAAGTGAATAGATTGCGATGCGCAATAGTGTGAACTGCGATTCATTTCGTACTGAACTTTGATCGATTCTGTCAATGCGCTGCACCAGCAGCACGTGAACATAAGGCGTTGCCGTATGGTGACATTGCACATCAGGGCCCACTCACAAGACTAATCGTTTAAAATGTCCTTTGCAATAAGGATTACTTTAACGAATGAACAGCTCAGTGTAGCTGCTTTGGAAATTGACATCTACTTGCCACGTTTCATCAACGGAGCCGGTCCACACACCTTGAACGGCAGCCGCGTTCCCGTCTATCTATGTAGGGAATCATACGTACCAGAGGTACACAAACCGGTGGCTGGGCCATAGTCGCTCCACACTGGATGGAACCACAGTTTGAGCCTAGCACGACCACGAGGACCGTGCACCCTGTCCACCTCAGCAACGATTCAGTCTCCTGGAGCCAGTAATCGAGGTGGAGGATGTTAGACAGGTAGGCACCTTGTCAACATGCACATCAGGCGCAGTCACACCGGGAATATCCAAGAACCAACATAGACTTTAAGGGAAAGCAAGCACACAAAATTGTCACGGAGTATGCAGCATAGCAGAAAATGGAACAAACCAAATAAAGAGGAATGAATTTTATCCGGATTAAAAAATCTAGTTTAAGTGTGTTGGTTTAGCCCAGCAGCGATGAAGAGGCATCATGAATGCAACATCAACCTCAGCACGAGACACCCAGAGCAAGCATAACCTACTTCAGATACACACTTCGTCCCAACATTGTTGAGTACTTGCGGAATTCGCTGTAGACTTGACTCCTGTACGCCTCACCCACTTCCATCAACTTCTCGTTGCAAAAATCTTTCAGCGCCCTAGAGCATCGACCAATTGCAAGCATTGAATAAAATTATAACCAAATATTATCTATATTATCTTTTCATGATTGTTTGAGACTAGATTAACAAACAAATGTTTTTTTCAAAACTATGAATGCCGGATGTACGTGGTGGTGAGTACTTTTTGGACCGTTTCCTTTATCGTCATGAAAAAAGGAGCATCCTAGCACCGAAGATGCTGAAATTCGAGGCTGTTGTCTGTCTGATGACAAGACGGTTAAGTGGGTTTGCTATTCCTAGCATCGTAATCCCTTGCTGACCTGCCTGTGTTGTTGACCGTACACAGTACCATTTCTCCGACATCGCATTGATTTTGGTATATGATGAGAATTAGATCGTAGAGGAGAATTTGCAATATCTACTTTAGTTACAACCTGAAATGAGATAAAGTGCAAAACATGGACGTTGCTAACTCGCACCATCCATTTAAGCACTAAGTGGACTCCTCGGAAACATTACAATGCAACCCGAGTCTTCGGTTGAATATGGCACCTTCTCAACGACATGGTACCTGAATGATCAACACATAAGTGAAGTAACAGAGCTCACCGCAACTGCTTCCAAATCGGGTAGTCCTCCAAACGCTTGGAATAGCACTAGGTAGTCGTTTCGACTTGTTGGGTCTCGTCGTTGGTTTGCAGCAATTGGCTCCATCAGGATCCGAAACCATGAACACATGTGGCTTGACAAATCAGCAAACAACTCATGCCACTGCGTCATGGGAGAAAGCGACCCATCATCATTATTTACAAGCTACTGCGATGAACAATTAATTAATTACATTGAAATTCCCCTACTCATGAGCAGATAAGTGAATTCCTTGGTGACTTGTCAGTAGATGGTAGGCAGCGCGTAGGAGTTAGACATCCAAACTGGTGTGTGACAGGACATCGCTTAGTGATCACACGGTAAAACCATACACATGTTGCGACAGATGCACACACTTTTTGACGTTAATTAGTTGCTCACTCACCGCCAGTATCGGCCCAGTCACATATAATTTTGACGCTGTCTGAACCGTCGACGCAGGGCTGGCGATGATGACCTATGTGTGGCTTGGGCTGATGCGAGTCTGACTTGTAAATTAAGTGAGATTTACCCCTCAGATGTCCCGCTGTGATTACGATAACGAGCGACCGCACTGCAGGGGATCTGCTAGACCGCATAGGGAAAGGTGTGGTAGGTGCGGCGGTCATGCTGGCGAATACAAGTGAACGCCGCATCAAACGCAACCATTTTAGTGAGTCAAGCGTACGTTTGCACGCACGTACGCGCGTGAGGACGCAGCAGCTTCAGTGACCATCACCTGCGCCACCTGTACGTAAACATCCTAACATCACTGCTATAAGTGCACGGATGTTTGTCCAAACTATTAACGTTAAAACATGTGGTATTGAGACAACTTCCGATATGCACAATTTCATGCCAAAAATCGCAGCTAAAAGAGTGAATTGTTTGTTGGCTCGACTTATTCCCGCAAGAGTCTTACTACAAGCGGCTGCTACCTATGATCTTGTCAGATAGTTTCGTAATGTTAGAGAGAGCCTTAGCACAAGATTATCATTGCTGGTAAATAGCATCCTAATGTGTCACTTCAGTTCATGTACTGATAGAATTACTGAATTTAGTCTTACTCCTTTGACCACGGTTATTGCAATCCTTAAGTGCATTGTTTGAATAAGTAAAAGATAGCCGTGCCCTTATTCTGACTGGTTTCGACTGCTGATGCGGCAACTCCGGTTGTACCCCTGAACTTTCCCTGTAGTTAGTTCTCGCAGTGATATTCCTGGTTGGTGACCAACGCTGGCATCTTCAAACAGTCAGTGTGTTACTTCCCAAAATCGGCCTTTTCCGTAGTAGGGACGAAAAGGTGTATATAATAAAAGACTAAAACTTCCATTTATATTCAGATGACATTCTTCAACCGCTCTTTTTTAACCACTTCTATTATCGCAGCCGGTAGGAGTTCGTAAGGCCGGTCATGATAAGCGACCTAGGTTATTCTAGTTAGGGAATGTAATAAGCGACAATGCGGATTGAGGCAGGTATATCAGCATCATCTTTGTTTTTCTCCAACTTCATTGTCCCAATTCTTGATTTCACCAAACACAAGCAGTTACTTGCAAATGATGTTCGAGCAAGCTTTTGCTACGTGATTAGTATTTTAAAACCCTCTCCAACTTACCCACATTAACGGAGCAAAGTCTTCTACACCTTGCTCTGATCGTGGTATTTTACAAAGAGAAATCCCGTGCTCCCTATTTCCCTTATGCATCTAAAGGTATTCCGCACCAACCAACTCTATTGGATGCAAGTATACTGACTGATTGCGGTGCTATTGATCCGGGTTTAAGATATGTGCTTGCATTGTAGACGTCATTTACAACCCTTCTACATGTTGCGA